ATGAAGAAGAAATAGAGACAGGCTTATGTGAAGGGTTGTTTAAAATTGGAGCAACTAAAGAACATTTCCAGAACAACAGAAAGTGCCCGTGAAGGGCAGTGTGGTAGTTTGAATATAATTGACCCCCATGATCTCACAGGGAGTGGCACTATTAGGAAGTGTGGCTTTGTTGGAGGAAGCGTGTCACTGTGGGGACAGGTTTTGAGGATTCCTATGCCCAGTGTGTCAACTGACTTCTCATTGACTGCAAGATGTGGCACTCTCAGCTCTAGTACAACATCTGCCTGCATTCTGCTATGTTCCCCGCCATGATGATAAAGACTGGACCGCTGAAATTGTAAGTGAGCCCCCTCAATTAAATGTTTTCTTTATAAGAGTTGCCAGGTGTCTCTTCACAGCAATAGAAACCAGAACTAAGACAGACTTCACAGCAACAGATTTAAAGAAAGTCAGATCATTTCAGCAGTGGATGTGATAGGATCCTGAGCACAAAGTAAGAAAGAAGCAGAGCGGCAGAGAGACACAGGAGCATAAAATTCTTGCTGCTCAAGGGTAAGGACCAGAGTTTGAGTCTCCAGAACCCATACAGATGCCAAGCATGGAGAGACAGGAGTCCTCTGTGGAAGCTGGCTAGCTAGACTAGCTGTATCCATGAACCCAGGGGTCCTGGCTCAATAAGGTGGACCTTGTCTTAGTTACCTTCCTGCTGCTATGATGAGACGCCATGACCAAGGCAAACTATAGAAGAGTTCATTTGGATCGCACAGTTTCGGAGGGTTAGAGTGCACGATGTTCCTCTCAGGAAAGCAGACTGAGAGGCAGGGCGCTGGAGCAGTAGCTGAGAGCTGGGGGCAGGGGAGGGGGATGACACAAGGCTTCCCAAATAGTTCCACCCACTGGGAACAAAATATTCAAATATCCGAGATTATGGGGACCATTCGCATTCAAACCATCACAGACCTCAATTAAGAAAGATTCCAAATATCACCCCTAGATCAATGTGAAGGTGTACATACATGTTGCTTATAATGTACTTCCTGTTTACTTAGGTACTATTATATCCTTCTGGGGTCCTTGAAGAGTTGAAGACAAATAGTTATAGTTTTTCTTAGTTATGATAAAAAATAAATTAGATATGATGTTAAAGTTAAAACCTTCCTTTTCATTTAGACAGAAAAGGGAAGATGATGTTGGATTCCCCTCTGTATGCTGTGAATATGTTTTATTACCATTGGTTAATAAAGAAGCTGCTTCAGCCTATGGCAGGGCAGTAAAAAGCCAGGCAGGAAATTCGAACAGAGTTATATAGAGAGAGTAGGTGGAGTCAGGGAGCCACCATGTAGATGCCAACAGAGAAAGACACAGCCAGAACCTTACCCAGTAAACCACAGCCTCAAGGCGATACACAGATTAATAGAAATGGGTTAATTTAAGATGTAAGAGTTAGTTAATGAGAAGCCTGAGCTAACAGACCAAACAGTGTTATAATTAATAAAGTTTCTGTGTGATTATTCGGGTCTGGGTGATCGGGAAACAAATGAGCAGTCTCCGTTTACATCAGAAGAGACTTTGAACTTCTAAACAATGTTAAGACTGCCGTAGACTATGGGAACTTTTGAAGTTGGACTGACATTTTGTATTATGATATAGGTAACAGCCTGTGGGGGCCAGGGAGTGAAACATGATGGTTTGAGTAAGAATGGCCTCTATGGCCTCATGTGTTTGAATGCTTAGTAGGATTAGGAGGTGCGGCCTTGATGAGTGGGATTTGAGGTATCAAAAACCCATGCCATGCTGGGCCCAGTCTTTCTCTGTCTCCCTCCATCCCTCCCTTCCTGCTGCCTGTAGAACAGGATCTAAAGCTCTCAGCTCCAGGACCACGGCTGCTTATGAGCCACCATACTCCCTACTATGATGATAATGGACTAATCCTCTGAAATTTTAAGCAAGTTCCCAAATAAAATGTTTTCTTTTAAAAGAATCACCTTGGTCGCCAAGTGGCAGGGCTTACACCTTTAATCCCAGCACTCAGGTGGTGACTATGGTCAGAACTTGTTTCTGGTTGCTATTCGATGAATCAGGTGAACGTTACTTGAAGCCTACTGCAGGGACAATAATGAGATGAAGGAGGTGGCAACTCCTCATTAACACAAAGTCAAAACTTTATTCTGATGAAATGTTATGAACTCTAAAACACTTCAGATCCCATACATTTTGGGTAAGTGTTACCTCTCCTGTAAACAAGTACTATGTGTTTTTTTGGAGTGTGTGCCTTCAGTTTGGAGGTACTCGATTCCACCTGCCAGGATGTGGGTGGCTACCCAGGTCCATCTCCTCCCCACCAGACACCTAGGGTGTTGCCTGCCTGGCGGACAAGCGGTGTCTAGACTGATGTCTGCTCATGACAGTTCTGAGGGGTTAGCCCCGCTGCAGAAGTATTCAGGGTCAGTGCATCCCATGCCCTTGTCCGTCCTGCTCTTTGCTTCCTTCCTGTGTTTATGAGAATGCTCTGGACGACCTTCCTGCATGCAAACCTCTGCCCTGGAGTCTGCATCCTGGGGAGCCTTGGCTAAGCTAGTTAAACGAAAGTGAGATGTGGGGAGGAAAAGAGGCAGCCAGAAAGCACGGAACTCTCCTGAAGATAAATAACGACACTTCCATTTCGAAGCTCAGTTGACACTGGCCAAAATTTCACTAAAATTCAGTATTTTTCTAAGTAATGTTAATTTCTTAAGCTTTATGAGACATAATAAAAGTGCATATATGTTTATATATGTGCACATATGCACATGTACATTTGATGTGTGTGTGTGCGTGTGTATGCAGATTAAGAATGTAATCTCTTCTTGGTTCATCAACATGAAAGCAACAAAAATCATTTCAAATACCTACTTGTGATATTGGAAAGCTCTTTAGAATTTCACCGGTAAAATTACTGCAACAGCCAAAGAAACTATCTCCTCCAAGCTAAAACTGGCTAATAGACAATATTGGGATCTTAATTTTTTCCAAAGACACAGGGCAGATGGTGTCGTGGTCACGAGAAAGACATTTAAAATGTCTCCTCAGCAAGAATGTAAAGGAGCTTCCAGAAACCGTCGCTGACTCCTGGTTTCTAACGGCCGGACCCCAGCAGCTTCCAAACAGCATTTTAGGGGAATGGCAAGGAGCTGACAGACCAGAGGCACCAAGAGCAGTGGTTACTTTGACATCTCAGGTCTCCTCAGACTCTAAAGACAGCCGTGTGTCTTCAATCCTCATTCCTCTGTGAGTCCGTGTTCCCACACTCATCTCAATCTACTGGGATCTATCTCCCTGTAGGATTCCAGTCATGGCAACAGATGTTAGTTCAATTCCTTCCCAATCAAACTCTGGGTAGATGTATTAGTTCCCTTTTTTGAATCTGTGATAAAATACCGGGAAAGCAAGGGGAAAGGAAGCTGCTGGCCAGCTACATTCAGAAACACCCTCCCTGGAAACACCCTCACAGGACACTCGGTGGTGTGTCGTATCAGTGCCCTAGGTGTTTCTTCATCAGTCAAGTCAACAGGGGAAACCAGCCATCACACTGGAGATTAATCCAAGAGGAAAGAGCCTGGTCCATTGTGGGACCCTTCCCGTGGTGTTCTGAATGAGGACGGCCCCCCACCATGGGCTCATATATTTCACCCCTAATATCTGACTGTGGGTTTTTATTAAGAACAATTAGAATTCATGGTAAAACTATCTTTCTTGCTGTGGTAATGTGGACGGCTTGAGGTGCCCCAGGTCGGAGGAGATGACCTCTCTCAGAAATGCCCGCCAAGAAATAGCAGTACTGAAGTAGCAGTCTTCTAGTCACAAGGACAGACAATTGTCACAATGATGAATGGCCCTGGGGGTTTTCCTTTTCTGTTTAACACAAAGAATGACAACCTATTTCAAAACAGAAAGTAAAACACTGATATCTGCTGAAGGTCCTTGGGAGCGGAGTCCACACAAAAATAAAATTTTAAATCAGAAACATTTGGAATCTGGGCTGAGAGAAATAAATAACTCACTAATTTAGCACTGGCTTTAAGCTCTGATTGTCTTTCCCTCATTCAGGGAATATATTTCTTCTAGAAGTAAATATTTAGTTCTATTGTTTCACAGGAAAGAAGCAGAAATACCAACAACTATAATTTTGTGGCAACAACTGGCTGAGGATGGCCCCGCTGTGGCTTAGGGTTGGAGTTACTTTTCTATTTGAAGCTGACAGAATTCGTGAGCACAGAGACGATCTTTCTCCCACCAGCACTGTTGGACGACTAGCTGCCCACGGCCTCCCTTCAGGAACGCACGAGACACTGTGAGACGCTTACGATTAAGGCCAAGGCCCACTTTACGAGTACTCGTGGTGGAATGTATCTTCGTCTTTCTCTTTCAGCTTTCCTGAAACACGTCTCAAGGACCGTTTGGTCTCATCTAACTGGAAATTTCTAGGCTGCTGAAACTGTTTCAAAGCCAAGCGACCAGTGCCTAAGGAATGACCTCTGAGGAGAGCCTCAGGCCTCCATATCATGTGCATACATGTGTGCCCCTTAACATACATGAGAAAGGGATGAGAGAGGCCTAAAGCGGCCAATATTCATGCTGTTAAAGGTTCATTAGGACAGGTATTCCCCCAAACTTACAGTGTACTTTTAACAAGAAACCCCCGTTTTGCAAATTTGCATAATCCAGCTGAATCCCACCCCACTCTTATGTGTAGCTATGACCATTTATTATTATTATTATTAATTATTATTATTGTTGTTGTTGTTCTTTTGCAAGATGTTGAACATGAAAGGAGAAGCAACACTGAGTACATCTGTGACAGACGTGAACACTGAGCCCAGAGACTCAGAATTCAAGAGCCCTCTTACTCCGAAGGGTGAGTTCACTGTCAAGAGAAATAACGGCCCTCACACCCTGGGAGGAGAAGGGTAACGTGAATGGCCCTGTCCCAGCATAGAGCAACTGCCTTCTGTGGTGCTTACTTGAGGGCGGTTCTGTAGTGGTAGATGGCTTCCTTGTTCCGGCCTTGGTCTTTTAGGAAGTTGGCGTAGTTGTAATGAACCTTCGCATTGTGGGGCAGAGTATGAACTCCAGACCTACAGGGGACATTAAAAAGGAAGAAAACAAGAATCACACTATTGTCAGGTCCTTTTGTGTTCTGTTCCCAGCTTCATGAGCTGCCTTTGAATGCCAACAGTTCTCACGTCCAACAGATATCTGAGCATTGTGAATTACGTGAGTGACTGCACAGGGAAGGAGTGAAGGCCTTGGCCAGGTTTGCACAACTGGATGATGAACGAGATGCTCTCTGCAGGAAGCATGGGGCCCCTTCTCTCTGCTGGAGACACACCTGGGGCTTGGTAAGGTGTGGTCATCTGGGCTGAGGCTTTCTGTCGGGGCATAGCAAAACCTGAAGGAGCAGAACACCACCTGGACACAAAGCCTTGAACTGTCCAGCCCAGTCTGCCCTTGCATCTTAGAGTGCAGTGGGCAGAGGACCTGATGTAAGAGACGATGTAGCTAAGTCAGACCCTGCAGAAGATGATACAGACACTGCCCCTTGTTGAGGGATTCTGGGCATGCCCTTCTCTCTCATGTCTGCTGCAGGTGAAGGCTTTTTACTTATGAATAGAAAGTGAAGTGGCCTAAGTGATGTGTCTGCAACACAAAGGCACAAGAAGGCGAGGCGAGGTGGACTCCATAAAGTGAGAAAGCACAGCTCAGTACCAACACTGCCCTTCAAGGCACGAGACGAGATCTGACAAACGCTGTCCTCACTCTGTGGCTTCTCTCTCTCTCTCTCTTCCCACATGCTGGCTTCCTCTTTTGGCATCAAGACGCTGACTGACCCCATGACTGAGTCTAGAATGTATGCAGCATCCCAGAAGTCTGGTGGCTTAAACCAGTTTACAGAAGTAAACGCTACAGTCCTTTAGCATCTGTGTGGTGCTCACTCGGCACCATGCTGTGCCAGGGGCTGGGAGATAAAATGGCCAGGGAGCCGATTCTCAGGATCTTACAAGGGTGAGGCCATGTGTACAGTTAGGAGAAAGAAATTCTTATAAGTGGGTAGGATCAACAAATCACAGTGAGCTCAGCCATGAATAGCAGCAGAACTGAGCAGCCAACAGAGGTGAAGCTCTGAGGATAATTTGTTTTTCCTTCCTTCCTTCCTTCCTTCCTTCCTTCCTTCAGTTAACCCTTCTTTTTGTTTTCTTTCTTTCTTTTTCCTCCCTCCCTCTCCCCCCCTCCCCCCTCCCTCCCTTCCTCCCTCTTTCCCTCCCTCCCTTCCTTCCTTTCAGTAATTTGAGATTGAGTACAAACACGAATTACCAGAGGGCTGAATGTAGGCTGACATCCCTATTGATAAGATTTATTGACATTAATATTGCCATATCAAGTCTATGCTAACTTAAATTATTAAAGAAATAATTATTCTATAATTGATGAAATGAAGTTTGTGGAAGCATCAAACGCCTTGCTTAAGCAAGTGGTGGGTCAGGCAGTGGTGGTAGACACCTTAATCCCAGCACTCGGGAGGCGAGGCAAGTAGATGTCTGTGAGTTTGAGGCCGGCTTGGTCTACAGAGTGAATTCCAGGACAGTCAGAGCTACACAGAGAAACTCTTTCTCAAAAACCCCAAAAAACAAACTAAAACAACAACAGCAGCAGCAACAAAGCAAGTGAGAGTCTGTTCAGCTGACCACAATGAAACATCACTGCTTACGTGGCTTAAGGGGCACACTGCTGGGCCACGTGATGACTCTATCTTCAATCCTTTGCAGAACTTCTGTGCTGTGTCTAAGGATGGCTGAACTGGTTTCTGTTCCCACCTGGAGTCTGCCAGAGCTCCGTTTTCTAACCAGGCCCTCGGCTGCAATTATCCCTGGCATGTTGAAAACAACCATTCTGTGGAGCCCAAGCTCTCGGTTCACGCTAATGACCCCACGACCATCACACCCAGCTATAGGAGCCTTGCGGTTTGATGTGGCCCCATTTCTTCATTTCTGCTTCTGTTGGTCTGTGCTTACCCTTCATTGTGATATCTAAGAAATCACTGCCAGGGTCAGTATCAAACAGCTTCCCCCTTATTCACCATAATCAAGATATACTAACATAAGGCTGTTGGGGATATTATTTTAAGATGTGCAACTTTGCTTATGCTGCATTTGTTTAAATTCTGTAAAACTCTGATACTTTGTCTAAAACACATGATGGTCTAAAAAAAAAAAAGAGCTGAATGGCCAACGGTGAGGCAGGAGCAAGGATAGGTGGGGCTGGCAGGCAGAGATAAAATAGAAGGAGAAATAAGGCGGGGGGGGGGGGCACAGGGCAAAAGAACAAGGAGTAAGAGTGAAAGTAAGACATACAGAAATAAGAAAGAGAAATGCCCAGAGGGAAAAGGCAGATGGGATAACTCATACAAAGCTGGCAAGAAACAAGCCAAGCTCAGGCCAGGTATTCATAACCAAGAATAAGCCTCCATATGTATCTTATTTGGGAGCTGGGTGGCAGGACCCCAAAAAAGAGCAAAATAATCGCACTACAAGGCCCATAAACAGATGAACAAAAAAATCAAACTGTGACTTATATGTACAACAGAATATCATTCAGCTTTACAAAAGGAGGTTGTGCAGCGCGTGACACCAGAGTGGGCCTGGAAGACATTGTAAAAGCCACAGGTAGGAAACATGCTGTGTGCAGAAGAATTCAAACCACAGGAGCAGAGAACAGAACGGTGATAACAGAAAGAAGAGAGGGAGAAAGATGCAAACCCAGTTAGGTGGGGGTGATCCTCGTGTTTGCTCTGGGCACCCCCACCATTAAAACATCGTAAATTCTGTTTATTTCTATCATGCCAATAAGAGACTTGAGGAACCATAATGTTCACCAAAACCAGATTAGTGTGGGTGTACACACCTCCTAAGTGCCAAGGTCGCGGCGTCATGCCAACAAACAGCATTCTGTTTTGTTTTTTTAAGACTTATTTTATGGGTACATGGGCTTTGCCAGCATATAGTCGGTGCAGTGCCCTCAGAGGCCAGCAGAGGGCATCTGACTCCTTGGACCAGGAGTTACAGGCGGTTGTGAGCTGTCACCTGGGTGTCAGGAACCCAGGTCCTCTGGAAGAGCAGCCAGTGCTCTTAACCACTGAGTTGTCTCTCCAGCCCGTCCCGCACAGCATTTAACACATGCATTTCCCATGTCTCCTTCACACCTCTTATTGGTAGAGGACTTGAGAAATAGAAGAAAGAGTAAAAAACAAAACACAACAACAACAAAGCAGACACCTTCATCAGACGTCTCTCCAGGGTTTAGAACAGCAGCTTGTTTAGTTCACGTTACTCAAGAGCAGGGTGGTAGAACCATCTCAAATTCGTAGCTAGGGACTAAACATTAAGGCATTACTAATGGCAGCCAGAGCATCAGAGCAAAGCAAAGGAGGGGAGTAAATCCCTCCTCAGTTTTGGTCTCTGCGTTGGTCCAAGGTTTCAGCCTGTCACAACAGATGGTGATGCTTGTGTATTGCTCATCTTCAGTCAAACACTGGGCCGAGGGCCCACCTACCACACATCACCATTTCATTCTAGGGCAGACGCCAACTGCTGTACCCTGTAGTACAGACGAGGAGGACAGAGTCCTGGTAACTATTTGGGCAGAAATTCCAACCAAAGCCAAGATCAAGCTCATTCCTAGAGTTGGGGAGTAGCTGATGCTGAGAGGGTTCCAGCAACATTTGCTCTAACTGGCTCCCAGGCCCTCCAAGGCGTCCTCCCCTCCCAGGCTCCTTCCCCTCTGTCTGTCATCCTGTGTTCTTCTCCTCTGCGCTTGGATGATGAGCACCGTTTTCTCTATTTTTCCCCAGAGAAGCAGTTAAGCAGGTGAACTTAGCATGCCGCCAGAAAGCCTAAGTCCCGATGCTGCCTTCACTCTGTCCTGCCTCGGCAGCTGGCAGTGAAGTGTCCAAGTGGGCTCAGCGTTACTCCTCACAGAGGAAGTCCCATACACATCCAGCCTTAATGAAGAAAAGGCTCTATAAGCCTCCAGCTTTCCCAGGACTTAGACAGCATCAAAGTCTTATTTAAAGTTATCAGTTGTTTTGATTGCTCCTGACACAAAAACTGACCTGATCTTCCAAGGCCTCCCCGGCCAAAGTCCCTTTCAGCACAGCCGTGAGACGGTTGTATTATATATAGTGACCAACTACTCACTCCCAACAAACTTCTACCGAAAGGGGCAGGAAGTTTGGGCTGCAAAGTCAGTGTGCACTCCAGTCCTGTCATTGTTTTTACTTATTTCTTAACTACTGGAATTAGCTGCAGTGGGTTTGAACTCTAGGCTACTATCCTTGGAGCAAACACTGCCTCCCACCCCCGCAACCTAAGTTGCTTTGATTAAGGAGTAAATATCATATAAATGCCATTCCCAATGTGTGGCATCTTCAGGGGAAGTGCTGGACACAGAAGCAGAACGGCTGGGAAGTGTTCCATAAAAAGTCAACCACTGAAAGTGAGAGAAAGATTAAACCGAGAGACCAGCAGGAAGCTCTGTGTCTGAACTTCTATGCCCCCAGATTGAGGGATGAGGAGGGAGGGGCCTGTGTTCTGTGAGGACCACAGTGAATGAGGTGGCTAGGGTAAAGCCCAAGAGCTCTTTATCAGGTCTGCGAAGGAAAGAACACATTTAAACAAGCAGAAACGAAACAGCTGCAAGATAGAAAGAGTCTTTGTCCTTAGTGGTCTAACCTTGGGTAAACCTTCAGCTATGAACAATCCTAAGGGACTCACTGGGCCACCACAAAGGGAAGGGGGCTGGAGAGGTCCAGACGTGCAGAAAGGAGCTGCTCTTACAGGGCCCTGTGCCTGATTCCCGGCACCCACGTCCATGTGATGACTCTCAGCCACTTGTAACTCCAGGGTATTAGTGTGGAAGGAGGTGATCACTGGACAGGACACAGAAGACTGAACAGAGAATGAGAGTGGTCAAAATCCCTTGTGTTCACGCAGAGAGTGTCAACACGAAACCATTGTTACGTATGATAAACAAAGAGCCTTACCCCACAGCAGTCGCCCTGTGGGAACCGGCGCTGCAATGATACCCAGGCAGGCACACTACGAGGAAGGGGGACTTGATTGGGGGAGGGGGAGGGAAAGGGGAGGCGGCTGGGGGGAAGAGACAGAAATCTTTAATAAATAAATAAATAAATAAGTAAGTAAATAAATAAATAAATAAATATGCCTATGTTGCAGGGTCATAAGATCAAAACACATTCCTCTCTCTCTCTCTCTCTCTCTCTGACAGGATCTCACAGTGTAGCCCTGACTGTCCTGGAACTCTATGTAGATCAGGCTGGCCTCGAAGTTTCAGAGATCTGCCTGGCTCTGCCTTCCGAGTCCACCACCACACCCAGCCTCAGACACATTATTTTCAAAAGGTAGCAGAGCCCGGGGAACGTCTGCCTTATTTGTTCATTCATTCATCTATACATTACATTAACTTCTTCACAACTAATACTAATATTTGTACTTTGGGACAGGTTGTAAGCTATAGATTAACACACACATATGCATGTCTATGTAAATATGCACAATGAACACAGTACATGTACATATATGCACATGTGTTTATGTATATATGATGTGTGTTTACATATTTATAAATAGGTATACATACATTCACATACATGTGTATATACACATACCATATACACATATGCACATCAGTACACACACTCACGTATGAATGATGCTAGGGATATGGATATAACCCAGTGTACTTGGCAAGTGCTCTACCCCGAGTTGTTAGCACCAACCCAGCAACATGCTTGTGTTCAGAAAAATGTTCCATCACAGAGGGGAAAAAAACCCTCACCAGAAAAGGAAGTCTTTTATTTCCTCACCTAAACGAATGTTTAAAATAAACAATGATGAACAGAGAGGCCGCGGACTATGATTTAATGCCCTGGAATATTCCAGAGAAGTCACTGCCTGTCCTACCCTCCTGCTGTGTGCTCACCTTCCCTTGCCCCGGGCCGAGTGATCTCATTTGGTGAGTGACTAAACCGCCCCCCTCATCAGTGGCTGTTTCCACCCACTTTCACAGACCCAGAATCTCCTCACGCTCATAAATCCACTCGGAGCGAGTGCATGTTAAATTTTACAAATTACTTTTAAGATCCTAAAATTAAACCCCCCAAACTTCAAATTTATTAAAAGTGATTTTCCAGATTATCACAAAGAGCCATACCCACGTTACTTCACTGGGAAACAAATCTGTCATCAGCAAAAGAGTGAGAAGAAATACACATTTACCTGCTTTATCATACCTGAATAAGGACTCTCTCGACAACCAGATTTCATTCTGCTTCACGGTTTTCCAGGAAAAAAGCAGGAGCAGCAACACAGTAGACGCCATCAGGGAGGTGGCCCCACACCGGCTCAGCCCAGCACACAGCTTGTTCAGTCCATGCACGAAGAGAATGCAGTAGCCCATGCTGGAACACAGCACAAGAGCAGGGTCACTGTGGGTCAGGGGTCACTGTGGGTCAGGGGTCACTGTGGGTCAGGGAGTCACTGTGGGTCAGGGAGTCACTATGGGTCAGGGAGTCACTGTGGATCAGGGGGTCACTGTGAGTCAGGGAGTCACTGTGGGTCATGGGTCACTGTGGGTCAGGGAGTCACTGTGGGTCAGGGGGTCACTGTGAGTCAGGGGGTCACTGTGGGTCATGGGTCACTGTGGGTCATGGGTCACTGTGGGTCAGGGGTCACTGTGGGTCATGGGTCACTGTGGTGGTTTAAACAAAATTAGTCCCCACAGGCTCATGTATTTGAATGCTCTGTCACCAGAGAGTGACACCATTTGAAAGGATTAGAAGGATTAGGAGGCGTGGCCTTGCTGGAGAAAGTGCCACTGGTTTCAAAAGCCCATGCTGGCCCTGGTCTGTCTCTCTGCCTATATATCAGGAGATATAAAGTAGGAGCTCAGCTCCTACTTTAGCTCTGCCTCTGTGATACCACACTCCTTACAATGATGATAACGGACCAAACCTCTGAAACTGAGTTGTCACGGTCATGGTGTCGCTTCACAGCAACAGAACCATGACTAAGACAGTCACTGCGGGTTGGGCTCATTGTGGGTAGGTAGTTCCCCAAGCATACCATCAGGACAAACAGGCCTGCCCTGTGCTAGAGGAACACATATGAATTCCACTGTCACAGACAAGTGTGGGTTGTCTAAGGCTCTCACAAGATGGCACTAGCTCTCCTGTACTGGTGTGAAGACACAGGTTCAATGCCTTGGGTGTGAACATCCTACGCGGGACCTGAGGAGACGTGCTGACCCAGGCTTCCTCACGCCTCCATCACAAGGTGTGTTTGAATTTAGAGCCGGGGCCACTGCAGGTCCTACCCCCGTAGCCTAGAGGGCCATCTGGGAGGAATGGACTACTATGGAGGACCAGAGACAGCTAACGTCTTTCCATTTCCCAAAGCCACCCACGCACAGGCTGCCCCCTGAGCTGGACTGGTAAGGTTTTCTCACTAGCTCCGCCCCAGTTTCCCTCTAAAAGTTTCATCTCTGAAAGCACATGGTCCCTCCCACCACTCACACACCTACAGAGGTGCTTCCTGTTGGCAGAATAGTCTCCAGAGAACACAGATTTCTCCAAACATCCCACCTCCATGGGGGGCCAAGAACTAACTTGAAGCCAGTGTTCCCAGATGTGACCCCAAGTACTGATTTCAGTTGGCACAGGTCCTTCTGTGCCTTATACAAACCAGAAGAGTCTCCAGTATGAGCAAAAGTTTTTTCACATTGCAGTATCCATATCTGACCTTAGAGACGTGGGGTTGCTCTACAAATACACTGTTTCTGTGGAACCGGTTGTGCAAATGTTATTTCAATGCCTGACCATAATGGCTGCTCGAGTGTGCAAGGTTCCTTGCTGCCTGTGCTTCTGCCCTGGTCAGGTTCCCTCACCCCTCAAACTAATCTGGGACCATGAGAAGGTCCACTGGAGTTCATCATTTCCTATATTATAATTTGTTTTTAAAAGAATTTTATTTTTAAGTATTACTATGTGAGAATATCACTTGTGTGGAGGTCCGAGGATAACTCTGTGGAGTTGGTTCTCTCCTCCCACTTTTCCACAGGTGTTGAGGATCAAGCTTACTTGAGGGCCTACCCTCACTCATCACAATTTACTGAATACTATATATAAAACTATTACAGACACCAAGAACTTATCAGTGAATAAGCAAGACTGTAACACAATCCTGGAATATAGGCAAGAAACAGTAAATGAGTAAGTAGATTAAATCTAGAGCATGTGTGTTATACTATGCTCTATGAAAAAGAATCAAGCTACGGAAAAATGGGCATCTCAACATGGTCAAGTAAGAACCTGCAGGCATATGAGAGAAGCCCTGAAATGCATGGAGAGCATGCCATAGGGACATTTGCATCTCAGGCTCACTCTTGCTGCTCTCCTCCACACAAAGACTGCTGCGGGGTGGGAGCGATCATCTTGTGCGGTTAGCACCTTCTGACTCAGCGCCATGACTTCTCACAAAGCTAGGGATGCCGTGGACTCTTAATCCAAATCCAGGAAGATGCTGGTAAAGAGGGTGGTTAAGGATGTCGGATTAGGTCAGGTATCTAGTGAACAGAGAACCAGTGGGACTAAGCCAGGAACTCGGACCCTGTACTGCCCCGCATGCTGCCCTGCTGAAGGGTCTCTGATGTGGCAGGCTGGACCCAGCCCCACCCACGATATAGCCAGCCTTTCATCTTAGCTCTGTATTCATGAGACCTCACCAGCTGTAGGAACCAGAGCTGCCCTAGGACAGAACAGCAGGGAGGAAGGGGTGCAACCCCAGCAGCGGCACTACAGGGCACTGAAGTGTCAGCAGACAGTGACTGAAACCCTCGCCAGTTTGTATATCCTCTGTAGTAGGCACCGTGCTAAGAGCATCACTGAGTTATCAACAGCATTCGCAGGGCAAGGATAGGACTCTGCATATGTTTTCTGACACGAACTTCAAATCCTCTGTGTTATCCACGTCCTAAGTGAAGACACTGAAAACTCGGATGAGTTGAAGAACTTACCTACAGCCCCAAAGCTCAACAAGCCAGACATGCAGCCTTTGGCAGAATGCTAAAGTTGAGAGGATTGCAAACTTCTTCTCTAAAAGGCTAGGCAGTGAGGAGTGCAGACGTTTTATATATCAGGGCTCACGAAGCTTTGTCTCAACACCCTGCATTTATCTGCTAGACGGAAGCAGCACACTCAAGGCCTCTGACCTTCCCTATCCCGGCCTCCCTTCTTCATGTCTCTCAGTACTGTTTTCACAGAAACACATGGAAAGGCTTTCTTTAAGTTCCCAGTTTAAAGAATTCAGCTCACTGTCCCCACCCGGGGCACTGTGTCTGTCCACCGTCCGTTCTTCTTTCTAGATCCACCTACGTGTCTCGCTGGCCTCCTCCCTGAGAGGAGAGCACAGAAGCTTTGGCGTTCTCCGAGCTTCTGAGTTGCTGTGCTGTCCGTGAACTTTAATACACTTGTTTGCCTTTGCTCCTGTCAATCTATTTATTGTCAATTCCATTTATTGGACATAGCTATCTAGACCTCTGGAGAGCAGAGGGGGAGTTCTTTCGTCTCTGTGTAGGCCACAAGGCCTCTATCATGTCTCCTTCACTCTGTTTATGTAAGACCAAGCACACGCCCTGTAAATGCGTGGGCATGTCTATACTCCAACAAAATTTATTTGTAAAAACATTGGAGGGCAGACCCAACTCATGGGCCATACAGCTGGCTGGTCCCTGCTCTGTGAGAATGGAGGAGAAGCCCCCTTGCCATTTGGCATTGATTTTTGTATCAAAAAAAATTTTTTTTTTTGAAGTCCTTGAATTGACGCATGGTTTCAGAAATGCTAAGCCATTGAAAGGACTCTCTGCTAGGTTTGCAGTTTTGGGGGAACCATTACATTCCTTCCGATGTAGACACCACAGCGAGTAAGAGACTCCTCCACCCTGAAACTTCACCCTTCAACATCTGTTTCCGCGCAGCTCCCAGCAGGGGGCAAAAGAAACATGTTCCTTCTATTGCCAGGGGCGGGACAAGGCCACAGAGGAAGTGGAAAATCAAGCAAATGAGAAACTACATGCTTTTTTCTGCAGGGAGATGGAACGTGAGTCTACCTTGCTCCAGTGACTCTGGTTAAGAAATCTCTGGGCTGCTGACCAGAGATTTCCACGCAGAACACACAGGAGCCCACATGAACCCAGCACTGGACAAAGTCTGAGCCTGCAGAGCCACAAGCCAATAGCTCAAACTCAGAAGCAGTTTGCAGAGCCATCAGCAAATGGCTGTAGTCATCACAAGGTTCCCTTCCTTCCTCCTTCCCTCCCTCCCCCCTCCTTTCCTCCTTTTCTCTTCCTCCCTCCCTTCCTTCCTCCCTCCTTTTGTCTTAGAGAGATACAGTGTGTGTGTGTGTGTGTGTGTGTGTGTGTGTGTGTGCGTGTGTGTGTGTGTGTGACAGTGTACATGCAGAGGTCAGAGGATAACTTGTAGAGATGTGGAGATAGGTTCTTTCCTTCTACCATGTGGTTTCCAGGAATCAAAATCAGGTCATCAGACTTGGGAGTGTTATCAGACTTAGGGTCACAGTCAGTTTTGGCAACCCAACTTCAGTAAGATAATTAAAAGAAAGAGATTTAATCAACATGTCCGTACCGTGATGAAGGATTTATGGGGTAGCTAGAATCACAGGCCTGTACCACCAAGCACAGCTGAAAGTACCTAATTTGTGGACAAGCCCCAACAATCCACTGAGACTATCTACAGATAAAGCTAACATTACAAGATGGCCACAACCCTCTAGTTTTATTAAGCTCTTCCTCTGAAGGGTCTAGAGGAACATGTCCTCTGACTTCACTGTGCCCCGTTGATGCTGCTTCTCACAAGTGATCTCATGGTAAGGTTTTATTCCAGTTGCGTGGGTGTTATCCCCATATGGTTCAGAAGGAAAGCCCTGAAGCATTGAGCTGAGAGCTGGTGGTGGTTGTGCCCCACACCAGTGGTGACTGCTGAGAAGCCAATACTAAGAGTACCCCCACTTCTGCCCTACTTTTTCCCATCTCAAATGTTCGATGGGGAATTCTCCAGCGGACTGAATGTATTCGGAGGTGAGAGTTCATTCAGTCTAAGAAATCCTAGTGGCACTGCTGAGCAGCTCCCTGGTCCCTGCATGAGGTGCTGTGCTCCTGGGTTGAGATGGGAAGTTTCTTCACACGTGATTCTCTATGAAAGATTGCTGGGTCATTTTCCAGTGTGTCCTCAGGATAACCAGGGCAACTGCCGTTGGTTCCCATTTTGATAGTGGACATAATTCTCTCTTGGGCTCTTCACAATACAATGCTTCTGTTCCCCCCTCATAGTTCACCCAACAGCACTAAGATTTATGAGGCCTTTTCCTGGCAGATAAAGCAAGTCTCTGAAGTTGCACAAAATCCTGGGTCTGTATCTCAACCCTGACATTTGCTTATTTGGGGTAAATTATTTAAATTCACAAGCTCTTAATTGCCTTCCTTTGTCAGAGGACATTATTTTATGCTGAACGATGCCCACTGTAAATTAAATAACAAATGATAACATTAAGATTCTTGTGCTGTAATATTAGGGGCAGGCAGTTAGTTTCTGCTGAGTAGATTGGGAGGCAGAAAACCTATAACATTTGTATATGATCCAGGTCAGAACAGGTATCTCTGCACCAGTGCCCTGCAAAGACAGCAGGGTCCTACGACCTCAGGTCACTAGCAAGTAGAGGGGCTGCGGGGGTCCAAGAGGAGACTGGAGCTTCCGGACGACAGAAAGGGAACTCCTGAGAGCTCCAAAATCAGAACAGAGTCAAGAGAATTCAATGGCTCTGTGGCCTGAGTCACTTAACCCCTTGGAGGCTTAACTGTGTCTATTACGGGATTAATACTATCTGCAAACCTACCTCTAAGGGTTACATGAAATACTGTATGTGAGCAAGTTTCAAAAACTGAGTAAAAGGGGAGAGGCCATGTTGCCATGTGGACGGTTTTCGTGTTCATGAGAGCTATTGCTGTGTGATTCTTCGCACACGGATGAAGCGTGTGACTGGAACTATAAATAACCCAGTTTTTCAAAGTCCTGCTTGAACAAAAGGTCTGACTTACAAGACAATCCCAAGCATTTTTAAGAACACACGTGAAAAATATCCTTGGAACTACAAGCTCACTTGTACGGTAGTATTTGCTTCAAGTACTGAGTTTATCTACAATGTATGTCATAGAGTGTAACACAGACGGGCAGTGTGTGGAAGGCATGTGGCCATGGACTTATTAACATGTACAATGTCAGAGGTCAGAGACAAACACAGAAGCAGTTCTCCCCTCACACCCACTTTGATTTGGATATAAACTATCCCTGCAAGCGCACCTTTGAATGCTTTCTAAGAGTGTGGTGTGATCTTGTTCTAAACGCCTGCCCTCCCTGAGCCCTGGGGAGTCTGTCCCCTTCTCTGCTCATTCTGGTTCCCCTGCAGTAGCTGGGGATACGCTCTCTGCTCCTAAAGTGAAAGATCCCAGCTGGCGTGCAGGGCACAAGGGTGAATATTCACCTGTTTTCTCTGTTACCCTACATCTTTCATCAGCTGTTTCTGCTTCATCAATTCTATGCAGTTTTAGTTGTTTTTTCCCTCTTCCGGTGTGTGTGTGTGTGTGTGTGTGTGTGTGTGTATAGCTAGAAAGATAGCCATACAATATGTTTCTCTTGAAGTCAGGATAAAAGAGCAAAATTTCTGTGAAAAAAAAAATGACTTTAGCCCCCAGACTCCCTTCTCTGCTCAGCTATGACATGCACAGAAGTGACATTTATCAGAGCAAGAAAATGTTATTTCTGTGTGTTTTGATGGTAAGACTTTGACCCCAGAAGCCAAGCAAATAGCCAAGTTCTGTCTCTTTCATCCAAAGATTTCTGGCAGCAAATAAGAAAAGCCCTTTTCTGGTTCAGGTTGGAAGGAGAACAGAAGTGGCGTGCATTGTTAATCATGAAGGAGGAAGATAAAAGCAGATCGTGGGTCAGGCTCAATCTGGCTTTTCTATAAGATAGCCAGATCAGTCCTCCAGCTGCTGGACCCAGGAGGTTTCTCAGAGGCTGGCTGGGGTCTCATGGTGGGTAGGAGGCTCAGTTTCTCCAGGAACACTGATAGCTAGGCATCCTTCCTTCCTCCTTCCCCTTTCCCTTCCCTCCCTTCTCTTAGTTAGGGCATAAAATTGGGGTTTTCTTTTGAGGGTCCTTAGTCTATAGGACTTGAAAGGAAGCTTGAGAACAATTTTATTGGGGTTTGGGAGAAAACGAAGGGTAGAGAAAGCCCAAAGCGTCAAGGAAAAGTGTATGCAGGCTTTGAAAAAAGGAATACAAAAAAAAAAAAAAAAAAAAAAAGGAAAAGGAAAAGGAAAGTTACATTTCTCGGAGTAACTGAAAAGAACAGGCGAGTTTAGCAGAGCTATATGTCAGGGCCTCTGTGAGTGACTGCACAGGCTGGGGTTTTAGGGAAGGATTAAGTACTTTATCTCATTAGAGGGATAATTAGTCCTCCCATCTCCTTGGCATGGCTTTAGGTATCACACTCTTCCTGAGGGGTGGTATCTTGGTAGGTGACTGATAGGCCCAGTTACAGTAATTATTTTTATTTAAAAATTTTCTTTAGAGCTGCATTAACTCTAAAGGGAGGACATAATAATTTACAATGTTCTAATCCTTGGCACCAACCAGAATGTCATGTCTCCTTGAGGACCAGAAGTATTCCATTCTTTTAACCAAGAGTGGGTAGCCTTCCCTTCCTGGGCCTCAATAACCCCTGACATCCATCAACAAAGATTGTAAGATTGTAACAAGTCCTCGAGAGCTGAGACCCTAGCTGCCTACGTGCTGCACACCTTTATCCTGAGTACTTGGAAAGTAGAACCAGGAAGATCTCTCTGAGTTCAAGGTCAATCTGGTCTACATGCCAAGCTCTAGGCTAGCCAGGGCTACATAGCGAGACCCTAAAATCATTCGGGACATGGATTGAAACTGGATAGAACTTGGCTCCACTGTGGAATTCCAAAGCTGTTCACCAGAAGGGATTCAGGTGTCTGCACCCCCTACCTCCTATGCTCATTTAGAAGAAAGCCAGCGAGAGGCCGCAGTCCCCTAAAAGCATTCCTTGCCTCTGGCCAGGGATGTGAATGCCACTGCTGCTTTCCAGGTGCCTGCACGAAAGCCGTCATATGTGTTTCTACCTACTGTCCTCAACAGCTCAGCTCACGTGGTCAGGAAGACCAAGAACTCAAGGGAGGGCTTGAGGCACCTGACCTTCTACCAGCCCCAGGATCATGCTCAAGGGGAGGAAGCCAACAGACCTCTCTGACCAAGAGGCTTTGGCGTCTGCTGAGACTATCCCTCTGCAGGGGCAGGAGCTACGATGGGTACAGGGTGGCACGGTCAGGTTCTGATGGAAGAAACAATCCCTCAGCAAGAGTGCGAGGTACCAGGCCAGGCCCGAGAGGAAAGGACAGCCATCTCTGGGATGAAGGCTAGGTAGGTACTGACACTCTGCTGAGCTGAGTTTGATAGAAGCAAATCCAGTCTGGCTCTCAGAGGCAGGCACTTCCTCTGGCAAATACTGACATTTTCTTTATAGTGCAGTTTTATTTTCACCTGAATCCTGAAGTAAAGGGGAAACTCTGAAGCCCTGCTTAGGACACAGCAATAGAAGTCAGAGCATCCATGTTTTGTCGTATGTAGCCCCAGTTGTTCTTAGACCAAGTCTAGCCAAGGATGGCCTTGAACTCCTGATTGTCCTGCCTCACTTCCCAAGTGCGGGGATTATAGGTGTGCACCACCAATTTCTCCCTTTTAAAAATGAGAAAATCTGATATAAAAAAGCTTTATGCCTTCCTTGCTCAAGGTCACACAACTAGTAAATGTCAGAACAAGACTGTCCCCTGATTCAGTAACATTTCCAGGAAGGTGGCCTTGGGACAATGACATCGAATAAGATGACGGTCAAGCTAAAACAAAGGGCAGATGGGCAAAGCTACGCCATAGCTAAATATCATTTTAATTCCTACTTTCTAAATTAAAGGGGGGGAGGTTAAAGAAGATACTGAACACAGTAATATTGGGCAAATCAACAAGTATTTAAAAACACCACAACTATAATGGATTGTAATGCTGCTGTTTGTATCCTGAATACGGGAAGTTATGATTCCTGCTCCACTGTGAGCTTGTACCTCTTGGCCTGTGAGTTAGGGCGCAGGGGCCAGCCTGGTCCCTGGAAATGGCGGCGGGGCTCAGAAGGACCCACTGCCGCACAGAGGACCGTCTCTCAGAAGGACCCACTGACCCACTGCCGCACAGAGGACCGTCTCTCAGAAGGACCCACTGACCCACTGCCGCACAAAGGATCGTCTCTCTGAGCTCTTGGGGCTTGCGCAGTGGGTGAGCATAATTACCTAGGCATGTACAGGACTCGCTCGGCCACCACAAAGCCCACCCTGAAGAAGAGGTTGCTGGCTGGAATGAACGGGAACACGAGGAACAGCAGGCCGGCCAACACTTCCTTGTGCTCCAGCCTCTGAAACACACAACAGGGAAAGGATACATGGATCTCGGCTCAACTCTGCCCCAAACAGCACGTGACCACCTCACGGGTTCTCAGCTGATGAGGTCACATCGGAGAGCTGAAATGACCTGCTTAGAGGTGCCAGCTTGCCACGCACCCATCTGTGCCCAACACTCACCTGTCACCAGAGACACGTGACAGACACAGCTGGTGGTGACCACCGCCCACTGCTCTGGGAAGCCTGAGAACTCTGCTGCACACTCTGTCCCCACCCCTCCCCCACAGCCTCGAGATCGTGCAGAGGGCAAAGCAGCTGGGCAGAGCCAGGCACTGAGATACAGTGGTACCCTCTCCTAAAGAAGAGGCCAAAAGAGTCTCTAGCAGGAGCCAAGTTTTGTATAAAGGAAATGCTGTTCTGATGACCAAACTGGGGGTGTCATTGTGCAGGCAGCTGAATTGTAGGTTTCTGGGTACCTCTCAAATTAAGCTAAAGCAGATTTTTTTATTTAGGTTGGGGTTTTTTTTGTTTGTCTTGCTTGTTTGTTCTGTTTTGAGACACAATCTCTCTCTGTAGAGAAGAGACACACAACAATCCTTCTCCCATAGCCTCCCCGGTAGGCTATGAGAGAACATATGTATGAATAACTCATAGGCATGGGTTACCAGAACAGGTTACAAAATTTTTTAATTTAAAAAACCACTATGAGTTGGACAGTGGTGACACATGCTTTTGATCCCAGAAATTTGGGAGGCGGAGGCAGAGGCAGGCAGATCTCTGTGAGTTCGAGGCCAGCCTGGTCTACAGAATGAGCTGCAGGACAAGGACTACACAGAGAAATCCTGTCTTTTAAAACGAGAGGGGGGGGGGGAGAGAAAGGAAGGAAGCTCACTAAATTGATAAAGGACCTTTTTTGAGTATTTGTAAAGATGTTTCTTAGTCTTTGTCATGAAAACTAGTAAACATTAACTTGTAAAGGTTCTATTAACTGAAACCTCCCCTCAGAGTTCAGGGAGCCCATAGGAGGAAGAAGAGGCAGAAGGGAGGGAGGACACCAAGAAAACAAGGCCTCTAAATCAACATGAACAAAGCTCACGTGAGCTCACAGGACCTGCACGGGTCTGTACCAGCTCCTCGGCATGTACAGTGTTGTTGGGATTCCCGAGTGTGTGCACAATGGGCTTCTGATTCATGTACCCTCTCCGGCTCTTCCCTTCTGTTGGCCTGGCCTGTCTGACTTTATTGAGATAGATTTTATTTTATCTTATATTTTACTTTGTTGTTTTTTTAAAAAAAAAAAACTGAATGAATGAATGAATGAATGAATGAATGTAAATCTAGCCACTCGGGCGAACGCAAACAACAGAACTCTCATCTATCCCTGCTAGGAAAGGGAGGATGAGTTTTCTCTAATGCAGTGACCCCGGGTGTATCAACCACTCCGGGGCATGTTCAGGAGTAGTTAACCAACCAAGAATGGGCAGCATAGCTTTTATGTGGTTACAGCTGGGTGTTTTTTGATTTGTTTTCTTTTCTCTTTGCGTGATGTTGTGTTTCGTTTCCTAGGTTTGGGGTGTTTTGTTGTTGTATTGTGTTTTTGGTTTGCTCTTTAAGAAAGAACTTTAAGTTGGGTAGTAAGGAGAACTTGGGAGAAGGGAAGAATATGATAATATGCATGTATATATATTTATATATAATAAAATCATTTTACAAAAGTGGCTGTTTTATACTCATGTGTTGTAACGGACACGGTAGACAGACCTGCACCTCCATGTTTATATGCAGTAGATGTGCTTGAAGAGCTTTAGTTAAACACATCGAGGAGGACATTGGATGTTCTAGCTTAGAGGTACAGCCGGCAATCCCAGGACTCAGAAGGCGGAGGCAGGGGGACCATGCCAGCCCGAGGCAAGCCTGGGCTGCAGAGGGAGACAGCTTCAAAAACAAACAGAAAGCTTAAGAGTTGACCAGGTCTCCAGGCGGCTAACGGCTGCTAGGGGAGGAAGGGGCATTTCCATTAACGGTATAGCCTCAGGTAAGCAGCTGGAGCTCCTGTACACAACCCCTCACCCAGGATCTCACAAGAAACCGGCATGAGATAATTTTTTTTTTAAAAAAGTATGAAGACAGAAAGAGTACAAGGTGGGAAGATCAGGAGAGAGGAAGTGAAACAAGAAGGATAATAGAGGGCAAAGTGCCAAGAATACATTATATATGAAAATGCTGTAATGAAACCCATTATGTATAATTAACACATGCTAATAAAATACAAAGGAGGAAACCAAGTAGAACTTTCCGTATCGCATGCTGCATCTTTAATGACTCCCATAAATATTTAAAGTACTATATTACTTTTAATAACTAGAAAAGAGTAAGACAATATCATGGACATAAATAAAATACCCTACCGTGAACTACAAATACTCTAACTATGCAAAGTAAAAGATTTGTCACCAGGACTTTATTAAAATCTTTGTCTTATTAACTACCACATGCAGAGTAATGAAGTCTCTGGGAAAGATTCCGTACGGTTTGAAGTTCCCTCAAATGATTTCTTTCTGTTAGTAATGGCCTATGGGAAGCAAGCCCTAGAAGAGAGGGATACAGGTCATTTTAGTGGCTTCCACATCAGGTAGGTACAGACAAATGTTACGCATATATACATCATATATATACATGTGTATATATCTCTTGGATCTCCCAAAATTGCCAAATAAAAATGTAAAAAAGCAGGAAAAACTGAGGCGCCAGTTGACTGTGTTTAAAAGCCACAAGCTGTCTGCTTTGGTTTTCTTTTTGTTGCTGAGCTAAAACGCTCTGACCACCAGCAGCTTAGGGGAAAAGGGTTTATTAGGCTTACACTCCCAAGTCACAGTCCACCACTGGGGGAATATGAAGGAGGGCCCGACTACTATTCTACATACCTCTAACCAAGGGACTTGGCAAAGAGGTGAGACAGGAACCTTGGTGTGGCTTTGTGATTGGAAGTTATGTCCAGGTAGCTTCTTAGGCAGTTTAGGACCAATTGCCTAAGAAATAGTGCCAGCTACAGTGAGCTGGGTCTCCCTGCATCAATTAATAATCAAAACAACCCCCCACAGACATGCCCACGGGCTAAGAAATTCTTTAATTAGGATTCTCTTCCCAGATAATTCCAGACAGTTAATCAGGGAACAGTCTGAGGCATTCCAGTCCAGAACCTGGAGTACTAACCAACAGCAAACACCCCCTCAGAATGTTAGGCTAGCACTGACGATGAACCCCAGAGTGGGTGCCTTCTCTATGCCCAGCTCCTCACTATCCCTGAATCTACACTCAGTACTTTGGAAATAATCTTTTTATTCGGTTTTAATTTGTAGAGATAGCTGACTTTCAGTTTTAGCTCTTTGAAAGCTAACGTCTACGAGAAATCAATCTCTGTTTCTCCACTTTGATAGATCTAACTCTATGGTTCATTCAAAGCACCACAAAAGCTGTTACATGTAGCAACTCTCTTAGCAATGGAGATAACAGAAGGAGCCAGGTGGCTGAGACCCTCAGCACTCCACTTCAGAGACCGAGGACATGTTCCAGACTGCAGAGAATCCATCTGCTCTGCACCGAGGACCTTGAATCCATTCCCCAGCAATGATGACACTGCTGGCCATATTCTAGGTGGCTCTGCACAGTCTTCTCCTAGCAGCCTTTGCAGTCTCTGCTTCTCTCTGGCAGTGACTAGCTTGTCTGTCTACAGTACAGCTCCTGCCTAGAATCTCTATGTTAGGCTCTGAATACTGATTGTTCCTCCAGACCCAGGCAGGAGTTTAGTCCCAAGGCTCATGTTTAAAGTATTAAGAGTATGGAAACATATCCTGATAATGGCCGTCAGAGGTGGGGTCCTGCAAAGTGAGTAGATTTGATATGGTCATTAGCATGAGCTCCAAGAGTGAACCCTTTAGGTTTCATGAGGAGGACCACACAAATGAGAGCTATAAGCACACTTCCTCCATGGTATGATGCAGTCCAAGGGAACCCTCACCAAAATTCGAGTTTTCAAAACAGTGAGCCAAACAAACCTCTCTTAAGAGGAGTTTGCCTCAAAAGGATGGAGCTAGAAAACATCATATTGAGTGAGGTAACCTAGACCCAGAAAGACACATAAGTGGTTTTTAAACATAAAACAAAGAAAACCAGCCTACAAATCACAATCCCAGAGAACCTAAATAATAATGAAAACCCAAAGAGAGACATACATGGATTTAATCTACATGGGAAGTAGAAAAAGACAAGATCTCCTGAGTACATTGGGAGCATGGGGACCTTGGGAGAGGGTTGAAGGGGAGGGGAGAGGCAGGGAGGGGAGCAGGGAAAAATATAAAGCCCAATAAAATCAAGAAAGAAAGAAGAAAGAAAGAAAGAAAGAAAGAAAGAAAGAAAGAAAGAAAGAAGGAAGGAAAACATGTGAACATGTGTAGTTGGGAACAAGAAAAAGTAAATGATGGAAATGAAGGTACAAAAGAAGAAGCAGGAAGGAAGGACAAATGGCAGCAAGGATGTTAACAGCGGAGTTGAGTATATTTGCTAAGGGATGGACACACACAAATATAATCATTAGGTGTTGTGAGAAGAATTACTAAAGAAAGGAGACATTCAAATAAAAGTAATGCAATGTGATGTTTATGTTGTAACAAAGAGAGAGAAAAGGAGTATGCCTCAGATAGTATGTTATCAAAACCCAGGTGAATCCGTTCTCCATGGCTACAGCTCTCACCCTGCGTGTCCTGCTGGCTCTGGTTCAGGGCAGTGGAGAGAAGACGGCAGGGAGAGAAACAGAAATGCAGTTCTAAGGAAGATTAGAAGTCGGGCACAGGTGGGCTGGCGGGGCTGGCTCCAGCCCACCCACACGTGTTTCTGTCTCCATATGGTGTTGACCACTGCTTTCCCGACAGGCTTCAGCCCTTTGGTAAATCTCCCATTTTTAAGATCAGTGAAGCTATAAAAATTTACAGTGTTGCATAAAAACCACAATTATGGG